TACATCAGTATAATTGGAACAGCAGAAGCAACACAAATATTAAATACAATTAAGAAACCATAGTTCTTTGCCGAGATAATTCACATTTGTAGCATTTTTTTTTTCTGTAAAAGGAAGTCAAAGCTATCCTTTCAGACTTTCTTAGAAATGGGGGAAAATTTAAGTATGGAAAACCTGATTTTTTAAAAATACTTTCCTTATTTTTCCTAAAAATGGCATGTTTCATTTTAGGACAACCCCACACACACACTTTGTAGTAAAAGATGCTTAGAATTTCTACTTCAATCAGCTTTCTCTTACATGTCTGCCATCCCAAACAATACTTCAGATATCTATTTAACCTGGGAAAGATAAAGCCGCATTTGAATTCCCAAGCAAGTATAAATGTAGTTTAAATGAAAATAATCCAGCACCAGTTCTCACTTTTCTTTTTCTGCCCATAGTTCAGACATGTGGGTATTCTTCATATTTCTTTTTCTCCTGAGTCTAATCTGACATTTTCTTCCAACATACACAATTTAAATCCTAAAGAAGGCCAGAAGCAAAATTTATGGCTGGTAGAACTCCACTGAAGTCAAGAGAAATTTATCCCATGTGTATAAAGATCTGGGGGCACAGCAGTTGTAGCTTTAAAAAGAAAGCAGAAAAGTTGAAGCACTCTAGACACAAAAATGAAGTGTAGAAGTTTGCTTATATGGGTAAATTAATGAGTTTCAGTACATAATCCTGATTTACTGCTCTGGAGCTGTCACCTGCCATATAGAATACCCTCACAGTCTTGCTCCTCTTATAGTTACAAAGGATCTAACCCTACTGTAGCAGGATTTTGGCAAAAAAAAATTGAATCTACAAAGCCCAAATATATTTATTTGAAAATGAAAAACATAGTGTATTTAAAGATAAAAGCATAAGCCTCCTGCACAAAAGATTTATATGAACCTGACTAGTAAGACATTTCCTTCTTCTAAAATTAGTTGCTGCATGAGTAGCATAACTAATGAAATGGTTTTCTTATAGATTTGTCCCCTACTGTCATGACCCAGTTCCTGCAGCAATATTTCCAGCTGCATCCTGCAAGAGACAGCTCGAAAGCAGAGTTACAGCTCATCTGACAGTGCACAAATGCTAACTGGCTGGTCAGGTACATTTTGACTGATTAGTTATAACCAAATGTTACATATAATGTGTGAGTTCTCCCAGGAGGGTCTTCATTTGTGTACAGCTCTCTCTAGTCACGAGCCAGTTTTCCCAAATTTTGTATCCATTTAGGCATCTCTGAGAGTCCTACCTGTTCCTCTTTCAGGTTTCACTGGAATTAACCCCTGGGCTCAAAAGTAAGTGGAGATGGGGCAGAACTGACAGGGAGACAACTGCTACACTATGGAAATATTTTCCTTGGGCACCTGACTTACAAATATAGAGGATAACATCTAGAAATACCTGACAATCCCTGTCACTATTACAAAATACTTCATTTAAACATCACAGAATTAATTCTTTAAATTATTTTTTAGGAAAAGCCTTAAAGAGACGAAGAACTGAAGAGCAAATAATAAGGGAAGCTGAGAAGCAACAGGGCCTTTTTAGTCTGTCAGAACATTTTTATAACATTGAAGGCCAAACCCAGATATTCTTCATCAGCTTGGCAATCCCATGGTGAGAAATGCTGTCATGAGTTCTAAGTGACATTCCTCGGAGCAGGCAGGATTTGGAGGTCTCGATTTCTTCCTCACCATTGGCGAGGATTTAATAAAAGACTGTGGGTGGATGCACCTGAAATGCAGGACAATTTCCTTATCCTCCTGCTCTGGGAAGCATGAGGGTTTCAGAAGAATTTTTTAAAATACAGGTTGTCAAGTAGTTCCCATGAAAGAAGTAAACATTTTGGTTTTTGTCCGGAAACCAAAGTACTTTGTGGAAAGCTTTATTTGCTCTAAGGTCTGATTTACCTGTTTTCCTAACATATTAGATTTTGTTCAAAGTCAGATAACCACTATTTGGAAGGGGGGGGGGGGGGGGGGCGGACAGAGCAGTGGGGGCACCCTAAAGGGTGTGGATTTTGTCTTGGATTAAAGACAATGTAGTGGCACTTCCATCCCAGTTACTTTAAGTCCCTATTTCATCTGGCAATCAGAACTCAAGGCTGCAGATGTCAACACAAAATAATAGAGTAAAATAATTTAACATATTCAGATACTGAATGATATCTTTGGAAAAGGCAATGTAGGAGTTGTGCCACCCAGTGGAACAACTAAGAAGAAAATACTGTATACAGAAAGTTCTACAGTGCTCAAACTGCAAATACTCTCCATAGTATCATTTAGACCATGGTTGTTAATTCAACCCTTTTATTTATTTTTCTTCTGAAAACTCAGTGGGAGCTGCCAATACTTCTTTCTATAGTAAATAGGATTTTAAGCAGTATACAAAAGACTGGTTCATGGGAGGTGTGCTCCTTTACCTTATTTTCTATCTTTCATGGCTCTATATAGACTTGATTTCTGAAAGACTCCCTTGCAATAAATTCAAAAGTTCTGCTTCAGCCATGTAAGTTCGCTCTTAATATTTGGCAGTAGATTAATTTCTATGGAGTATTTCTACAAGAGTTTAACTGGGGCTGCCACTGAGAAGCCAATGATCAAAGACTATAGCTCTGGTCTCAGCAAACAACTGTAATTGTATTATGCAAAGTGCAAGCAATCTCAGTCCTCATATCCAACAATCAAACTAGCACATGGGGCCATCTGATGAGGAAACGCTCATTAAAGATGTTCAAGATCAACCTAATGAGGTGCATTTCAAGCAAAAGTCTCTACCTTGGAACAAGAACTTAAGTGAATAAGACACACTTAAGCTGTGCTTGTGGTTAAGGCTTTTCTATTCTGTTATTTAGCAAGACATTCTCTGCCCCATTTGTTTGAGAAAATGGTTTGAAAAAAAAAATAAATACCTGAGAGAAAGGCACTGTAAATCTCTTGTAGGCATTTCCTTGTAAAAGGAAACAGTGACTCCCTTTAAGATTCCTCACTGTAAACTGAAGGACTGGGAGAACCTAAGTGAAGCTGCAGCATGGGAAAAACATCTTCTGTCTTGCATGGACTATCAAAGTGGGAGCCAGTCAATGCCTCAGCAAGTGCCAAAGGTAACATTCAGAATCCTTCTGCTGTGGAGGTGCTAAGTAGAACAGAATCCTTCTCTCCAGCAGCTTTCAAAGCCCAAACTCCTAGATCTGCTGATATACTAATGCTGTAATACATTTATCAATGTACATATTAGGTATGAGGTAGAGCTTTCTACATAAATGTTTGTTCCAGCCGCTGTCAATCTCTGATGTACCCTCTAAGTCCTCTTTGTGATGAACATCAGAATGGGATAGTTTTGCATAAGTAATGTTACATCTTTGTTTTAAAAGGCCTCCAAATGCAATGCCATAGTACCAGACACAGAGGAACACTAGGCTTCTTTTCTGAATCCTTGAGAAGCATGTTAAATTGTCTTACTCCTCATTCATTAAACAAGTTAGCACACTGCCAGGTGACCTTTCAGTTGCAAATCTCTCTTCAAAACTGCTTTTTCTTGAGTTGGTTATTCAGCACGTTCTCAGAAAGCAGACATTTGTCCTTATTTCCTTATCATTTGATAATTATCACAAAACATAGGATAAAAAGGACCTTGTTTATTAAGATGAAGGGCAGTGTGAAGGGGCTCAGATCCCCTTTCCTCATGGTGTCAGAACATGGCTACCACTTCTACCACCCAGCTACAACTCGTCTCTTCTGGCCTGGTTGTGGTATGTTTATATTTCGCGGGAGCACAGATTGGTTCAAATCTCCAGTGTCACCACCCCTTGGGGGTTATCACTTTTTCTTAGCTTCAGGGGGAAAACCTGGTTCAAACCACTACAGGGGGTTTACCTCAGTGCGTATAAGCTTTGCATGTATTTAAGTGGATGAATCCACCAATACAGATGGTAAAAATACATCAAGCAAAATATCCAAATAAATGCAAATATTTTTTGAGTGAAAGCATCAATCTGATTCAATGAGCACATTTGTAACAGCAGTAGTTTTCCTTCTTTCTGTGTAGAAAAGGATCCTGTCAGGACGAGGGGCCCAGGCACAGAGATGAAGAGAAATCACCAACTGCTCTTCTTAGCCTTGTCATTGCCTATGCAAGACAAGTAAGAAATAGCAAAAGGATCCATCAGTGACCACTGTTTTATTCTTAAACTTTCACCTGAATGATGATTTCAAGGCTGCAGAGACCTCATGTAACTTGCAAATATCCACATAGCTGTGATTTCGTAAGTAGCAGTAAATTTTCCATGATTGTGTCCACAATGAAAAAAAGCTGAAGATAGTTAAATTTCAGTAGTATGGAGCAATTTTTATGTATTCTTATTTCATATGTTGTTTCAGGTCAGAGGCTTCCTTAACAGATTCACCGGAAATACCAGGATTGCAAAAACAAGTGAACAAAGCCATAGAGAGAATTTGGTTTTGAACAATCCGTATATAATTTACATAGACAGGTTTTGCATTCATGGACAAGTTAGAATTGTGTATTTCCAAATAGGTAGTTATGCATTTCATTTCTGAATAAAAGTCAACAGTTGGCAAAAATAATTTGTTACTAATCCATTCTTTAGACACTTTATCTTAATTCCAGTGCTACCCCTATAGCTTTCAATTTAAATCATGCACTGGAGCGTGCTTATGTGAATCTGACATGGTGAGCTAGTGGAAGAATGCAGCTGGTTTAGCAATCACAACAAAATAATCTTTCAAGCCAATCATGCTGTTCCTCTAGGCTCCTGTTTCCAGAGGATCCCAACTGGAGGGTTTGCAACAAAACCAAAGCAAATGTGCATTGCCAGGAAGCAAAGCAGAACACCTTCATGTGGGTCAGTACATCCACCTCATGACAGGGCTGGGGCTCTCACTGCTTGGAGGCATGTACCCTTTTGTCTACCAAACAGCTACTTTGATTAGATATTCTACCTTGGGCTGTGATCTTGATTTTCTTATAGTCTCCAGCTGTATTTTCACATTTTCCTCAGACCATCTGCGAGAAGGATGGGGTAATATAACCACTGTTAAAAGCAAAATGCAGAGTGAAACATTATGAAAAAATATTTACTTTTCATATCTGCCAGGTAAGACAAGTAGCAGACTGTCACTCTTGTTAAAAACTATGTAGCATCCCATTGCCAACTTTCAGCATGGATAATTAAGGAAGTGCTCCTCCAAGCACATAAACTCAGCTGGAATCACTTCCTGACATCATTTAGCTACATTTCTACATGAAATTAAGAACATCTTTTAGTCTGTGCAGGGCTTGGACTGAAATTCCAACCTTAGATTTTTCATTTGTTTTTCTCCCGTTAGCAGTGGCTAAGCCAGGGGGCACACAGACCTACAGAACCCAAATTCACCTGACAATCCTGGCAGCTCAAGACTAAACATGATTCTGCTTGAAAGCTGACGAGTTTTAACACTTCTTTACTCAGATCTGTGTAAGGTGGGAAAAGATCTCTACCCCATGGCTCCTTATACCCTAAGAATAAAAAACTAGCAAAGCAGCTGTCATTTTTCAGTGAAGGAAAAATAAGTCCTTTATTCCAGCTAATGATTTATACAATTATCATGGATTCTTCTTTTTTTAACATTGTATAGGATTATTCTTTTTTTCATGTTATATAGAGACTTAACTTTCTCTGTACTTCCAAGTACCTTTAGGACCCTCTTGAAAAGACAGATGGTATTTGTTGTGAAATACTAATGTAGAGAAGTAGAGGGGTGAGGAGAAGCTGAAGTAAATTTTCATTTTACTGTGGAAAAACATGGTTCCTCAACTGGAAGAGGACATCTCCTTTTTCTGTTTTAGTCCAGGTGTATTTCCTACCTATGTATGCTCCCCTGTGCTTTCAGGCTTCCAAGGTATATAGTGCTGCTTTAAGCAGGAGGCTGGACTAGGTGACTTGCAGCATCCCTTCCAACCACCGTGTCCGTGATTGTGTCTCTCATTTCTACTCTATTATTCCTTGCCCTCTGCATCCCACCCAAGCTTCTGTGGCATATATTTAATTTTTAAATTGTTCTAGAGCAATTTCCTTTGTGTGTTTGCAACCACTGTCAGCTGGCTGACATGTCCAGCTGTGCCAGTATGTCATAGACTGGTTCTCAGCAAGAGCAGAAGCAGCAACCTGCACTAAGGTTCTGCTCGTGAGAGAAGACCAGGAGGCACATATAGAAAAGAAAATTTAAGATCTGTACCACAAGGCCAAAAAGAAGGTCTGCTATAATTCATGATGGGCCTTGTGTGGTCCATCTGCCTTTCCTAGCAAAAGCCTAAGGAATTATATGACAACAGCCAGCCAGCATTAAGACATCATGAAGTAACTAAGGTCAAGAGGTGTCTATGGTGACATCTGTTATTATGATAAACTGTCTAACTAGAATAATCTCACTTAGATAAGTGTGTCTGTGCCATGAAAACTGATCTGACAGCAATCCCAGTTACTGTCAAGAACCTCACCATTAGCCTGTGCAATAAAAAATGTAACTTACCAGCCACTGTTCTCCCTGCTCCAGAGGTGACCAGTGTAAATCAAGAGCTTGCTGTATCACAGACGAGCTGAGTGACTTAATGAGAAATCTTGTCTTTATGGGTTACTGTTCCCCTGCCACATCTTGTCAGCAATTCTTTAGAAAATTATTCTACCATTCCCAGTTGCAAGGAAACAGATGGCACATGGAGGGAACCTCTCTGAAGTGTAATGTCTTGGAAAAATAAGAATAAATAAATTAAAGACCAGAGACCAACACTAATATTGTCTTCTACCAAAATACAGCTTAACTAGGTGTATCGGGTTTGTGTGTCAAGGTGTTGTAGCGGAGGGGCTGCAGGGGTGGCTTCTGTGAGAAGCTGCTGGAAGCTTCCCCCATGTCCAATGGAGCCAGTGCCGGCCGGCTCAAAGATGGACCCACTGCTGGCCAACGCTGTGCCCATCCATGACTACAGCAAAACCTCTGGGATAACAGATTTAAAAGGAGGAAAAAAACTGCACAGCAGCAACTGCAGGCAGAGAGAGGAGCAAGAATATGTGAGAAACATCACTGCAGACACTAGGATCAGTGGAAAAGGAGGTGGGGCAGCTGAGATTCCTCTGCAGCCTGTGGTGAATGAAGCCCATGGGGAGGCAGCTGGTCCCTGCAGCCCACTTAAGTCCATGGTGGAGCAGCCCTTGGAGGACTACATGCCAGAGCAGGGGACTGCCCAAAGGAGACTGTGACCCCATGGAAAGCCTGCACTGCAGCAGGTTCCTGGCAGGAGCTGTGGCCCTGTGGAGAGAGGAGCCCACACTGGAGCAGGTTTGCTGCCAGGACTTGTGAACCCATGGGGGACCCATGCTGGAGAAGCCCGTTCCTGAAGGGCTGTCTCTCATGGGAGGGACCCCATGCTGGAGAAGCCCGTTCCTGAAGGGCTGTCTCTCATGGGAGGGACCCCATGCTGGAGAAGCCCGTTCCTGAAGGGCTGTCTCTCATGGGAGGGACCCCATGCTGGAGAAGCCCATTCCTGAAGGGCTGTCTCTCATGGGAGGGACCCCATGCTGGAGCAGGGAAAGAGTGTGAGGAGTGTGAGGTGCAGGGAGCAACAGAAACATGTGCTGAATTGACCACAACCTCCATTTCTATCCCCCTGTGCCACTGGGGGAGCAAGTAGAGCATTCAGAGGTGAAGCTGACCCCAGGAAGAAGGGAAGGGTGGGGAGAAAGTGGTTTAAGATTCAGTTTTTATTTATCATTATCCTACTCTGATTTGATTGGTAATAAATTAAACTAATTTCCACAAGTCAAGTCTGTTTTGCCTGTGCCAGTTACTGGTGAGAGAGCTCTCCCTGTCCTGACCTTGACCCATGAGCGTTCCATTATATTTTCCAAGGGGAGTGATGGAGCATCTTTGATGGGCTCCTGGCATCCAGCCTGGGTCAACCCCAAACACCAGGCTACATTTATTTTCTATTTAGCACTTAGATAGGATGGTCATTGTTTGATCCACTTTTAGCTCATTCCTGCAATAGCTGCCTAAGCAATATATACTGTTTTCACAACAAGCCACTGTGAGTCATAGAAAGAGATGAAATAATAGTAACAGGAATATATGAATTTTCTTGGATTTCCAAGTATCTGAACAAATACCAGGGCATCTATACTTCAGTCATAATTTATACACAGGCATATTACCTGTGCATCTATGCATATGAAATCCATACACAAGATAACAAATACTCAGTAAAGCGTATTTACAACAGCTCTTGCTAGTGCAATGAATCCCAAACCTTAAGAAGTAATGCAGAATGTTACAAAAATGAATATCTGAGTAGCAGTGAATGGATACCAAATGAATTCTTCATTTGTTTCCATGCTTCTCAGCTCTGTAATAGAAGAAAGAGGGGAAAATTTTCCTAAAGGCATGAGTTATACACAGACTTGCAAATAACATCTTTAGCAACTTACAGCTGGAGAACAAGCAGAGAAATAGCATTTTTTCTTATTGAAGTATTATGGGAAAACTCAGTTCTTGTGTATAAATACAGAGTTCCTTAGAGAAGTAAATCATTCAAACATATTTGGCACAGTGTTCAACAACCATTACTTCTGCAAGCTGCATCCAAGTAAAGGCTCTGAGTAAAGCAAATGTATTGATATGTAACTCATGAACATACTACTGAAGCCATCAAAAATTTGCCACTTCTAGAAAGCTCCTGGAACTGTTTCTATACTAGTATACTATTTCTTTGGTCAAAAGAACAGCGCTGTGGAAGGGGACTGAGTACTGTTTATAGGATAAGGAATAATTTAGAGGATACCCTAAGCACCTGCACCATTGACTATTCTGTGGCTGGACTTGGCTCTTCTGAAAAACTCCATGCTCATGTAGACAATGAAAACAAATCAAGTACTGATGCAGTCTTGCAGACTTTCACTCCCTCTCCAGGGATGCCCTGCTGGAGTGCATGAAGTTAGGATAAATACCTGATTTTCCTGTTAGAGGAAATTCTCTTTAAAGTACCGTGGGTACTTTGACACAATGTTGAGTTTGTGCCCCACTGCACAAGGCAGGTGCAGCCAACAACCTCCAGCTGACAGAGCTGTCACTGGAAGAGTTCAGGTTCCACAGCCAGTGGCAAGAAAACCAAAACAGAGAATACATAAAAATTTAATACACAAAATTTAATCCCAAAAATGGGATACAAAGAGCCATCTCAAGTCTGCCTGAACAGTCCTTATCTCATTAGCAATGCCATGAAGACCAAAAGTCACTAAACCACCCATTCCACCATCAAAAATAACTTCTCTGGAAAAACTCCTCGATCTGCACAAATCATACACTAAAGAACAAGACATAGCTTTTGCTAGGACCAGCCCAGTAGCAATTGGCGTTAAGCCTATGAAAGTTTTGATGAGAGCAGACTGTGAATATGTCTGCTATTTGAAAAAAATTAACAACTTTGATGCTACCTTTCAGATTTCATAAGTTTTAAATAAAGCAATTACATCCAGTCTTGCCTTTCATGACACGGTCTATTACTTTTCACCTAAAAACAGCTCTGCTGACACCTTCAGCACAACCAAAAAAAGAAAGTTACTCTGGTGGTGATGATGACCAATTTGTACCTTCTTTTATTTTCTGCTGGCTACCTGGGAGCTGCTGTGATGCAATCAACCACTTATCTTGCCAAGCTAAATGGAGAGGATGTGACTCACATGCTCTGATACAGGTAGTTTATTAGTCATGACCACAAGACCATTGTTTTGCTATGCTAAGTTCTGACTCCTGCTATTGCTATTATGCCCATGAGTTTTTGATGATGATACATGGGAACAGTCAGTTGTGAAAGAGAACAAGGTGCTCTGTACTGTAATATTTTCTGCTGTACTACTGTGCATTTTCACAGATGGTGATGGATTTCCAGAAGCAACTGAGCTTTTCTTTGTTCTGACAAAGTAATGTTCATGACTGCAGGAGTCAAAGATTAGTTAATATGGTCTCTAAAATAAACATACAGTTCCCTATCCTACCTCTATATTGCTGTCAATGCCAGTGTTTGCTCCAATATATTCCAGAAGGCATCCAGACGATTAAATATATCAAGAGGTAAAGAATCCATCACTTTATTCAGCATTTTACTATAATTGGTTCACTTTGATTTTTAAAGTTTGTTTCCAGCTCATTAAATCATTGATTCTTACATCTTTCTTCATCAGATCTGGATGAAGATGGGGGATAACAGCAGCTGCAATATCACTGTTGAGTTCTCTAGAGTCAGTAGATCAGAGAAACACGTTTGTTCTCATCTTCCAGGACTCTTGTTGAGGATTCCTATATTTTAATTGTTATGTTTGTTACAAAGAAATTGCAATAAGAGAAAAAGATCTTTTTGGTGCCAATGGATTTTTATGACATAAAAAGTATTAGTAGCTATCGTATTTTTATCAGTTATGATCCATTTCAAGCATTCTAAAATGTAAAATAACTTATTACATATGTGTGTGTGAATGTATGAATGCAAATATATGTATAGGAAAAACCTATTATTTGCATAATAAAGGCCTGATTCTGCAGAAACTCAAACTTCCTGCTGGACTTTACCTTTGTCAACAGGACCATGGATTAGAAGGACAGTGCTCTTCAGGTGCTATGAGCAGATTATGTGTTAGGATCATGTGGCCATTGGTCTAATTTATTAACTTCTCCCAAAGACAGCAAATTGACTTTACCTAAGCAATACACAACTCATGTCAATACTTCTTCAGATTTCACTGTATTGTCTGACTGAGGTCACAAAAATGTGACAAAGGTTATATATATATATGCGCAATGAAAACCTGTTATCCTAATTATTTATAATTTGCTTGAACTGCTAACTTAGCACATTCAGATACAAGCAGCAGATTTGCTGTGGTTACTACATATATATATATATATCTCCATATAAGACAAATAGTCATACCATCCTTAGATCAAAGCTTACAGACTTCTATAAGAGAAATTGTATGAGCACAGTCACTACTCCGTGGTTTGACCCCTTCTTGCCACAGCAAGCCTGTACTATGCTTGTTCCCCGTGTGCGTTACAGAGAGATTTTCCTAAAGCAGCCTTTCAGAGGGGCTGTAAATGAATTCTCACGCCCTGAGAGAGTTTTTCCTGATGTCTTGAAGGACTACAGCTACATGGTAAAGGAGAGACTTCACCAGAAAAGCAACATTCTTTCAAAAATCAATGAATTCAGATGTCCCTGCTTGAGAAAGCAAGGAAATAATAACAAAAGCAGAAAACTTACATCATTATTACATTATTCATAATGCTATATATTATTGCACATAAAACATTCTTATACATTATTGTTTTTAATGAATTTGTAAGATTTTCTAGATGCACAGCACTGATCTCAGCTGAAAAGGCTACACAATAAAGATATGTGACTTTTCTCAAATTGTTTCCATGGCAGGGACTATTCTCTAAGGTTTGTTCTTGAGATATGGTGACAAGCTCTCTTCTATGGGAACAGCAATATAAATAAATATAAATAGCCATGTAAATAGTCAGATATAAAGAATAATAAACAATGTTTTATTATATGGCACATTTTAGGGAAGGTATATTTTCTTTAACATGCCATCTTTAACATCACCTCAACTGCATATTACTACTGCCCTCAAAGACACAGTACATAAGGCATACCCATACCTTCCATTTGTTCTGTAAAATTTAAATTATTATAGGTTTTAATATATCTCAAAGCAATCTCTGAATTTCTGCGTTTAACAGAATGGAACCAGTTTTATAATTGATCTGTTATCTAAACAATTAGCCTTTTAATACTTACCAGTGTTGATCTGAACCTCAGCCTTAAGCAAATCAATCATTCAGATCCAAGTTTCCTTATGTGTGGAAAACAGTTTTTC